CTCTCTCTCTCTTTCCTCCTCCTCCTCTTACTCTTTCTACTCCTCCTCCTCCAGATTGACCGTTATTACCACCTTTGTGGAGGAGCCCTGGTCTCCGAAGACAAAATCCTCACGGCCGCCCACTGTGTCCAGAATATTATCTTGTAAGTAAGTTGTTATCACGGCATCCAGTGAAACACATGGATACAGTTGGACGATCTAGTCTTTGCAGATGACTTGGCGCTTCTGTTACTTACCCAGGATCAGATGCAAGCAAAGACCACAATTTTAAACAGCCTTAGTTTAGTTTTAGAAGAGGTTTTGCGGCGCTCGCAACTGCATTAGGTCATATGAGCGCCAGAAGGTGCTACAAGGGAGTAACAAACATAAAAAAGAAGAAAGGGAGAAAAGGAGGATAGATGTTTCATAGGAAAGAAGAAGCAAACCACACCAGAGCACCCTCCAACCACCCACTTAAACACCCTATCAGTGTCTGGTTGATTTAAGGATCCACCCCGAAAAGTCAAAGGTCCTAAGGATAGATGCACTACGAAAGGAGTAGGTCAGAATAGAGGGAAAATCACTGAAAGACGTCGAATCCTTCTGCTATTTTGGGGGTATAATTGATAGAGAGCGAGGAACAGCGCTGAAAAACAGCGCTGAAATACGCTCCGCATCGAAAAGGTACAAGCTGCTTTTATTTTTTTGAATAGAATTTGGAAGACCTTGGAGATCTCACTATGAGCAAAGCTGAGGATCTTCAATTCAAATGTAAAGTCAATCTTGTTGTATGGATGTGAGACATGGAACGTATCTCAGACTAGCATAAAGAGGATCCAGGTTTGTTTGTTTTTTGAGCAAGTGTCCAAGGAAGTTACTGAGGATCAGATTGACAGACAGGGTCACCAACGAGGAAGTATTAAAAAGAACGAGACAGAGACAAGTCAGAGGTGAGATGGGAAGAAGGCGGTGGTGATAGACTGGACATACTCTCAGGAAATTAAGCAGTTGCATAACAAGGAAAGTGTTGGAATGGAACGCACAGGGTAAAAGATCAAGGGAAGACCACGTGGAACCTGGAGGAGAGTCATAGAAATATATGTACAGAAAAGTGGGAAGACATGGAATGGCACAGCCCAGGATAGGGAAAGGTGGAAAGTGTTTATTTGTGGTCTATGTCCTGATCCATGGTGAGAAAGGCAGTGATGATGATGATGATGATGATGATGATGATGATGATGATGATGATGATGATGAAGTTGTTATCTCTTACACAATTGGATATTTCAATATACGAGGGTCGTTCAAAAAGTTTTGCCTCCAAGTTCATAATTTCTTTATTACTGATGCTACATACAAAAGTTACACTCTTACTTTTCAACATAGTCGCCTTTTTTGTCTATGCAGATCCGCCAATGTCGAATAAGTTGTCGCACGCCTTCGGCGAAAAAATAATTCTTGTTTTCCTCTAAACCAGCGACGAACAACTCCTTGAACTTCATCGTCATCTGCATAACGTTTTTTTTATGTACTCCTTCAAATTAGGAAAAAGATAAAAGTCAGATGGAGCAAGGTCTGGAATGTTTAATGGGTGTGGTAAGGTCTCTTGAAATCTGAGACTTAAAATAGCATCTTGAGCTTGTCGACTCGTGTGTGGACGGGCGTTGTCGTGGTGCAAAATTGCATTTTTTCCGGGCCGAACTCGTGACAGCCGTGCTCTAAGTTTTCTCAGGGTCTCAATACATGTATATCGTGCAGAGTTGATAGTGAAACCCTGTTCAAAAAATTCCATATGAATAAGACCATCACAGTCCCAAAACACTGTCATAAACACTTTCTTTGCAGATGAAACAATTTTGAACTTCTTGGGGCTAGGTGAGCCAGTGTGCCTGTATTCTTTCGATTGTCTTTTGTTCTCTGGGTCATAATGGTGTACCCAAGTCTCGTCTCCTGTGACTATGCGGCGTAAGAAAACTTCACCTTCATCAATATAACGAGCCAGGAGTTCATTACTAAAGGCCCGGTTACACGTAACGATAAATTGTACAAAAATAGGACGATCTAGCGATCATGAGATAAATCGTTAGGTGTAACCACAAAATTGTACAAATTTGGGACGATTGGACGAGGCTTTGGAGACTCGATCGAGAAATCAAGCTGCGCGATATTTTTCCGTGCGATCACGTCAGATTTGAGGGAGGTACGCTGTGACGTAGATTGGCTTTGAATTTTGCCGCTGTGCAGAATTAAACCAAAGATAGTAAATAACAAGATGGGCCACTCAGCCAAAAAAGTGTCCGCAGGAAGTATGCTCTTTGCTTCAGATGGCGCAGCAGTCTGTTTTGAAGCTCTCTTTCGTTTTTCCAGAAGAAGAATAGGAATAGCACCTCCTTGCGTGCGCAGATCGACTGCTGTTCATCAGCAGTTCGGGTACGTTCAGTGCGGAGTTTTAGGGTTTTTTTTATTTTAATGACCTCTCGCCTTTCATTCTAAAGTCAAATTAAACGAAGAAAACCATCACCCTTTCCTCCGGAAGAGGTTTTTTTGTCAGCGCAACCATTTTAAAAAAGCGTTCTTCCGAAATTTATCCTAAAACTTGCTAGTTTCACTTTGATTTTTTAAAACTCAAGTAGGGTAACTCTGTTCGCAAAGTGTGCGCTTTTGTGAAGAGGGCGCCACCAAATTTTGAGGAAACTTTTTTAATTGGCTCAAAGAGAGAAGTGGCCCATCTTGTTATGTACTATCTTTGATTAAACTCAGGACTCCAATTTTTTAAAATAATTACCGTAGGTAAAAATTGATTTCATATCCGGAATCAGCGTCTCAAAATGAGCAACGTTGCTCGTGGTGAACCTGATTTGGTGAGCTATTATTCATATTTTAGCAATTTTATTATTTAGTTGATCGTCAATGGTGAAGCTGTGCATCAAGGTCACTCGGTGCATTGCACATCTGCAGTCAAGTCAAAGCTTCCGGTTCTACACACAACAAGGTAGGCCTACAGTATGGCCACCCTTTTCTAAAGACACTGTTCTGCTACATCAAATGTACAGGGGAAAAGGGGGGGGGGGGCTTCTGTGATCTAGAGGTAGTGTTCGCCTTTCATTCATTAGGTCTGGAGCTCGAAACCTTCAAATAGAGAGCAGGCAAATCCCTGTCGTCGCAAAGAGACATGGTGGCTTTATGACGAGGAATCTCCTCAATCGAAAGAAAACTGGATGATGGATTGAAACGTGTAAACAGACAACACAGTTCGATAAAACGGACAGTTCTCTCATACGACGAATCTAATACAATTTATCGCTGCGTGTAACCGGGGCTTGACTTGAATTCGGTTCAATTTCAGCTCGGGTGACAACATGTGGGGAACCCAACGTGTGCACACTTTCCCAACACATCATGGATGATAAACTGAGCACTCCCAACAGAAATCCCTAGCATTTCACTGACATCTCTTACTTTGTCCGCCTGTTTGCTTGGATGATCTCATCCACTCTCTCCTGGTGTTGAACATCACTGGTAGTGTTGGGACGACCACAACGTGCTTGGTCATCCAAGTCTGTTTCTGCTGGACTGGTTTCCTTTGCCCATCTTCGAATAGTACTTACATCTACACATGCTTCACCATTGACAAGCTTCATTCGAGTATGAATATCAATGGGTGCAGCTCCCTTTGCATTAAAGAACTCAATAACAGCTCTTTGCTTTAAGCGCACATTCATAGGTTTGCTGGACGCCATTTTCTCGACGACAATGTACCCTAGCTTCTATGATGTAAAGGTGTGACATCATAGCATAATTCTTTTTTCTAGGTTTGAGAGAATACAAATTGAAAGTCAATAGTGTACAATTTCATGAAGATATCTTGAATAGTTTAGAAGTTTTTGGAGAGGAGGCAAAACTTTTTGAACGACCCTGATAGATACCCCCACCCCCACTCCCACCCTTACCTCTTTTCCTCCCTTTTTAAATACACACGTGCACGCACACTCAGTCTCTCTCTCTCTCTCTCTCTCTCTCTCTCTCTCTCTCTCTCTCTCTCTCTCTCTCTCTCTCTCTCAC